AACCAAGAGATATAGCGCAAATAGCATTTTGTGGAAGAGTTGACATCCGCCAGCAAAAACTATATTTTGCACAAGGACTCGGCGGTATTTCTGATCTTTGACTTCAGCGTATAAAGGAGTTTATTTATGAGGCTTCTAACAGTACTTGTGTGCGCTTGGTAATAAAAACAAACAGTGAAGGATTTTGTATAGACAGGATGACTGTCAACAATGTCGTTAAAAGTGGTATCTTTGGGAAAAAATATCGGTTTATGGTGCAGCGTGTCGAAATCGTCCGTATATATTACAGCTACAAATCTGCCAAGTTTGGTGCTTTGGAAAACTTTGTGGCGACTTCTTTGACAACTGGATCATCTGAGGAATGTCTGTTTGGGATTCGTACCGGTTCACCTTTGACCCCTTGTGGGCCTTGCTGGCCTGCTGGGCCCTGAATTCCATCTCGTCCATCACGTCCGTCCCTACCGTCACGACAGCCTCCATATTCAAAAGGCCCTTGATTTTGTGAAGAAAAAAAACATACGATTAAACAAAAACTAGCACGGAAGAACTCTCAGGAGAGAAAATAGCATCCGTTTCAACAGCAGCAATGAAAAAAAGTAATGCATAAAAACCACTACTGATGATAATTTAAGGTGTAAATCGCGAAGTTAACGGATCAGGCCTGGAGTTATGATCTTTGAGCAGACTTTTTCCTTCCAGATTTCAGAAAGAATTTTACTTTCAAAGATCGGGTCATCAGAACCTTCCCTTCTGTGATTTGAATATTTCAGGTCAAACTTGTCAGGATTTTGGAGTAACTTCTTAAATAAAAATATGGTTTGTTTTCTCTTTCGAAAAGTACAAAATTCTTTACCAATGTCCCGTCGAAATGGAAGCGTCAGATTTTGGTCGGCGTTGTGGCTAACTGGCATTTGGTCCCTTCGAATTCGCAGTTGGGTATTCGTCGAAGTCGGGTCATTATTTTCTTGTGGCATGGCCTTCTCGACTAATGACAGACGCTCTTCGTTGCTCGCTATTCGTTGCTGATAAAAACAGACACAGGATGTGTTGGAAATCGAAAATAAAATGGTCAGCAGAAAGAATCTAGTGTGACGTTCTCCTTGGAGATATAGTTTCATTCGGTGATTATTAAGTTGCTCTATAAACTTTCAATCGTTGATCCTTCTTGTGCTGAAGTTGCAATTGGCTGTTGAACAACCTACTTACGTCATGGCCGCAATTTGCCTGTAACGGCTAATTTTAAGGAATAAACGGAAAATATTTGTTTGGATTTTTTTATTTATATACATGCAACATGATACGCTAATTCGTAATCAATTTGTATAATAATAACTTCTCTTCAATTTCAAATATGCAGTTCCCTGAGTGCCGACATTTAGCAGCACAGGAATTACATGAATTATTGGAACTCACTCATCCATGACGTAGGGGCTGTAGAGCTGCAAAACTAGCCTTTATAACATGCAAACTCACTGAGAGTTTCAAGTCGATATATTGAACAAACGTATCCTTGTCAGATTAGTATTCATTATATTGATACCTTGTATAATTGCAATACTTACGCAGCCTAAACCGTACTTGTCTATCTCAGTCATTATAAAATGTATCCCATTTCATTCATTTCATTTCATTTCTTCGCTTTTTTGATAAACATGTCAAAATTAAAACAAAACATCCAGGTTGACAAATGACTGACCTTTACTGACTGTAGCTCCGTGTGGACGTAGAACACAGTCAGGCCAACCAGGACCGATGTGATGCACAGGTTCAGCAGTGTCCCTGCCACAAACCAACGCCAAAACACAGCATTCTTGTTGGACTGTTTGCTTTGGTCAAACATTTCCATTCCAATATCTGAGGACTTGTTCATTGGTGCCATTGCAACGATGGTTGAGGTGTTCACTCGACTCGCAATGAAGATGTGTCTGGTTAAATTTGTATGTGTCACTTTTATTAAACCGATCGATTAAGCCCCGCCCATTGCAAGTGCAAGTGGGCACGGCATCGACACAAACCCACTCCATGTTCCAACACGTTGACGCATGCGTCATACACAACTACACGCATGTCGGGGCATCAATCACCATTGTGATTGGTCAAACATCATGGGGAGGGGTTTAATGTAAGGTTTTTGACGCCAAAATGTTTCTCTGCGTTGGTCTCTGTTATTCTCATCGAAGTAACAATATTTACCTCGTTGGCATGGTGCAGATCATTTGAGCCTAAACAACGATAAACCCAAGTCACCCTTTGCACCCAAAGGCCATACATTAGTCACTGTGGCATTGTTTTACAAAGGAACTTTGTTATATGGAGTACACTGGCAAACTTAACCGTACATAAACCATGGTCATACGTCTTCCCTCATCTGCAAGGACTATAAGTCTGCTCCACAAAGTTTGTCTTACTTAAAGGTTGTTTTATGCTTTATTTTGACAACTGAAGATTCGCAATGAGCGTAAACGGGGAGTGGGGCACATGGCACGTGCTAAAGGCCTCTCAGCTTTGTATCGTTCAAAACTACGACCAAACCCATTGAGGGTCCCCTCCAGAATAGGAAAGAGCCCCGTCCCGTGCCCACTGCATATTCTTTTCCTTCAGTATGCGCAAACACTTTGAGGACAGGGGCACAATGTTGGGTGTGCAACTTATGGATGTGTAGAGGGTAACAAAGCTAGTGGACTGACAGCAGGAAATTATTTTGGGATAATTAGACCTAAGTATAAAATATTGGAACCCTTCGAGTTATGCTACTGGCAAGGTGCGTGTACAGAGAGTGTTCCAAAATACGCATTCCTGCTGAATGAGAACAATTTCTGTTTCTGTCCCCACTCCATCATCTCTCATTATAACATGGTAAAAAGAATACTTGTTTGTATGAATTCCGCCTGGCCCTATTATGTTATCGTTTCAGACTACACCAGGCCTGTTTCATTGGTTGTGTATAAACTTGCGAGTGACCATGGGTGGTGATATCTTTTTTACCAACGTAGTGTACCAGATAAGTACCTTAAGTTCTTGTATACGTCGTGAGGTTCCGGCACGATCGTCAGAGAACTCCTTTACTGCGTTCATAGATACACAAGGTTTTGCATACTTAGTCATATACAGAAAAAAAAGTTAAAAGATTTGGGACTAGTTTGCATAAAACCTTTTTTGAGTCACCGGTGCAAGACAGCAGTTTCGTAAATTGCTTGAAAATGAACACTACTTCCGTTTCCCAGTAAGACCTTTTCCATTCGCGAAGGCTACGTCTTTTTTTCACCTTTTAAATTAGGTTAGTAAGGTAAGTGAAACAAGGTAAAAAGAAACATCCCCATAAACTTGTGCACACATTTTTTCAAATTTAAATGTGCCCTTACCCAATATTCCCTCGTCCTTTTCCCACAAATGTCGGTATGTTTACTAATTAGACCACGAGCAGCAAAAATAATCTAATTGCGACTGTACAATTTTGCCTCTAAAGCGAGGCTGTGACACTATAGGGAGACATGAAAATGTCTCGCTAATAACCGGTGTCTTCCACCGTTCGAAGAAATTACGATACCGGGTCTCCTTTACACGTACAGGCATAATGCCCATTTATAATCCGAAACAAATGACGATCATGGCGCAATACATCCAGAACAATTCAGAAAAATCAAAACAATTCAATACAACTAAACCAAAATATTGTGGATATTCAGGAACAAGTAATTCTTCAGGGCAACAGGCAAAGCCATTTATTTATATGTATATTTCTGTATCCTGTTAACTACGACACAATCTAAAATTCATACTTTCCCTCCTTTTTTTTCTCCTTTATTAGTAACCAGGTAAGTATGTAGATAAGCAAGAAATAAAGTTAAAAGACGATATGTATTTCCAAGACAGCTGGGGAAACTGTCAGGTTTTTCCACAGAACTTCAGTATGAGGGAACACATCGGCAATTGGTTCAGAATCTCTCCAAATGGTCCCTCCCAACTTTCTATTTATTACCGTTGAGGGCGTGCTTATACGCGGAGTCCATATTCCTGCAGAAATAAACAAGTTTCACCAGCCCATGTACACGATTTTCAATAGGCTTTATCTACGAGTCAGCCATATTAACTTGAAAGCGAGGTAAAATGCTAATCTTCATATAGACTATTTGATATTTGGCCAACGCACTAGGAGGGCGCTATTTGGTTTGGGTAAAAATAAAAACGACTTAACACAAAACAAACAGCGCTAATATAGGCTAATAATCGTTATGGGGTGCTTGTAGGCCATATTCAGGCTTTCAGAAATTGTTTTCTGGTATTTGAACGAACTCCCAATCTATATCTATATGATAACTATAAGCATTACAAGCATGACAAGTGCAAGCATTACAACTGCGCAAGTGCACATCATGTCAAACAGACAAACAGCAAATAATGTTACTCTAGACCATGAGGTCACTTCCGGTCATCATTTCCCAGACGTCGGCACAATACTATTGACTATAGAGTGACATGTCAGCCGCCTTAGATGCTGCAGACGGTACAGGTTATTTCACGCCCGTTGACGTACGGGGGGCAATGGAGGGACCCGCAGACCCCCTCTATGATGTACAGAAGTGTTCCGTCTTGGTTAGCGTGACTGCCAGAGACCACCTCCGGGGCTTGGTCCACGCACACGGCTTTGGACCGCTGCTCATGGTCGTAATATCCGGACATGAGGAAGCCTCTGTACTCCTCCGTCCAGTTCTCAAAACAGCCGAGCATAACGTATGGGAACATGTCATGCCATACGCGTGCTTATACATGTATGAGCTCCGTGCGCTACCAAAAGAGGGCGCTCTTTTACCTAACAACGACGCCCCATGGGCGTGATATTTCACTGGTTGACGCGCACCGTTCCTTGTGTGTGACGCACGTACACCAGGGGATTTGTTCTATGTACACGCAGTGGCCGCGCTTTGCAGCAAATGAATTGCAGTCAAGATGGCGTCGGTCGGTCACCCCCAACTGTACTTCCTTTGCTGGTGAGGGGGTGCTTGTGAACGGAGCGGATACACATGTTTTGTGGGTACTTTACTGGGAAAATTGAGGGTTTCCTGAGAATGTGTTATGGTCTTTCCATAAATTATGTGCTATTATACCAACGTATGGCGCGGTGTTTATAAGTATTTAGGCCCTTTTCCTCCATTTTGTGTTCATGTAAATCATGTTATGTAGGCCTACATGTATATCGCTAGACTAATCATGGGCACACAGTGTGTTTAGATGTAAATTGTTATAGGTTTCCTAGGCCTACCCTGCATGTGCACAAAGTAATTTAGTTCCCCTTTGTGTTTATTCCTCCTTTTAGAACCACACACCTACCACGCCCACACGTGATTGTTGCATCTACACATCATATACACACACCACTGGCTTTTGCATCCCGACCACCAACCCTGTACCCATAACCGGAGTCAATAATAAACCTGTTTCCAGCCCATCACCAGTTGGGTCGCCTACTTCTTTTCAAGTATCTTTTATAATAGGCATGTATTTTTCATAATAAGCAAAGGATAATTATCACTTTAATAAAATTCATGCATCTGAGTGGTATTCTTTGATTGAAAGTTATATTATCAGAGTTATATTCACTGGATCACAGTCACCTCTGCTCGGAGATAGTGTAGATAGTTTTGTAATCGGGTCCTTTGCTGAGTCCGACGAGGATACTTAAATAAACGTTGGTGCAGTGGAAATTAAACCTACCAAAAAAACAAGAGTATTTGTCTTTTGACTGCGGGTTGAAATATGAGTATTTGGACAAAAGGTTATGCTGAAAATGTCAAAGAGTTTGTAAACGGATTGGTACTTAAGTCTGAGTCTTTTTCAAACCATGCGCAGTAACACATTTTAAGGATGCGTCTTAGCAAAGCCTTGGTGTTTATAGATTGATTCCTGTTTACACTGTTACACGGCAGTGGGACTTGGGAAGGGATCCGACTGTTCAGCATAGATTGAAGTTACTGGGTTTTTTTCAGAAACAACCAAACAACGGGCTTGGTTTAAAAAAACCCAATCATTATTTGTTACTATAGGAACGCTCACAACATACAATATCATTAAGTATTAACTCCTACCGACGTACAGTCATTTCTTTCTACTGATCAAAACTCTAGGTAAAATGGAGCCGACGCCGAATCTAATGAAAAAGGTAATACATGTAGTATACTGACGCCCTCTTGTAGACAACAGTGATATCAAGACGGGGTCGGGTATAAAGACCGTGCATTGATTTCTAGATGCTACAGACTGTGCATGCTATTTCACGCCCGTCGACATAAGGGGGGCACAGGAGGGAGCCACACTGCCCCTCAATGATGTAGAGCAGCGCGCCGTCCTGGCTGGTCTTACTGCCGGGGATCGCCTCTGGCGCCTCGTCCACGCACACGGCTTTGGACCGCTGCTCATGGTTGTATTTTCCAGACATGAGGAAGCCTCTGTACTCCTCCGTCCAGTTTTCCGGACAGCCGAGCTTGGCCGGGAAGAGCAGTTGGGTCCCGCGGTCCACGAGGCGGCATACGGCGCACGGGACGTCACGGTCCTGGAGGAACTCGGCGTTCTCGTGGGAGAAGGGATCAAAGCCGGAAACTTCGTACTCCATCCCGTACAGGAAGGAGTTGGAGTTGAGCCCGTCGTTGTGAGAGGCCGCCCACTCTGGGTCAGACGGGAGGCAGAAGAAATCAACAGAACCACCCTTGTTACTATAATGCGCACCCGTGGCAATGCCTGTGAACACAAATGACAATATTTTTCAAATAAAGCTTTTTAAAGAACGCATTATCAGTGGCGTAACCAGAGTCTGATCGGCCATTTTTTCTTTAGCGAAAGAGGGCGCAGTACTCTCTAAATGTGAAAGAGTGAAAAACCACTCAAAGGTTTCCCCCATTATGGCCCTTCAAAAAGAGTGGTAGTTAATTAACTCTTTTTGAGCGGTTTTCACTGTGGTCCATTGTGAACTATTACTCAAAAAGATGCAAATCTTTTCTCCAAAGCAGTGAAAAATCACTCAAAAACAGTTTTTCCCATTCTTTCACATTTTAGAGAGCAATGACGCCATTTTTTGGGTACCGTACAACTAGTGTGAATCTCAAGCTTAAGACTATAGTGTACTTTAGGATAAGAGTTAAGATATTACGCTTTTACAATCTTTATTTTGCACTTGTGGTGAACAAAGAAGCTACATACCCGCATACACGAGCTCCGTGCTTGTATCATTCAGACAAGTGGTGCGCCCCCATCGGACGTAGGTCTCACCCCCAGACGGCTTCAATGTGGGATACACGTCATGTGCGCCTGACTCCCGATTTTCTGTAACAGTAAGAGGCAATAAAAGGTAGAATAATTGTATTGCAATAATACGCCTCAATCAGATGAAAATGATGGGACCAGGAATAATGTGAGACCCTCAGGCGGCTTTGGCAATGAAAGCGTTTTTAACAGTCTGTTTTGTGTTAAGTGCGCCCCACGGAACGGACACTGCAATAAAAGTGGCCGGATGAAATCTGCTGGTCATTTTACGGAAAGATCGTAAGTGAGCAATGAAAGGTATACGGTACGTTGCAACGCGGGGGACACTGCACTACGAATGGGAATTTATGCAGCATAAACCGTCTCACAATGCAGCACGACAAACACCATGACTGAACATTACCGTCTTAGTCCAGCGTATGTGTGAAAAAATTGTGCACTTTTTCATAAAAGTGTGAAACTTGGCACAGATGTTTATGTTCATGCCAGAAAATGTTTTAGATGTGGAGCCATCGCAACTTTACCCTTTTAGGGGCGTGGCAGCCATTTAAAAAGGGGGAGACTCATCATGCCCGCAGTGAAATCGATTGTTCCCACTTGTCACAAAAGCAGGAAACTTCACAAAGACATAATTATATAGGTTATATGTGTGTTTTCCAGATGTGGAGCCACCAGAAAAGCACCTTTTTTTTGGGGGGGGGGCGTAATTATTATGCCCACCTTGGGCAAATTGTGCCCACATTATGAAAGAATGAAACTTCTCATAAACGTTTATATTCATGAGGAAAAAAATCCAGATGTGGAGCCATCTCGAACATACCCTTTTTGGGGGCGTGGCGACCATATTAGAAAAAAAGGGACGGGGTTTTCATTTGGCCCACCAGGGAAATTTTTTTCCCACATTCATAAAGCGGTCATTCGTAATAAAAAAAAATCTCTGGAAATGTGTCAGATGGATTAATCTTGTAATGTTTGTAGCTCATCACCTGCTGTAAGAGACGAATCCCCGTCGCCGAGGGCTCGCTTGGCCCGTCTGTGCATCATCACTCCTGATGAGCCTTGATCCCCATCAATGCCAGGATCTCCCTGTTAAGGTTAGATTAGAATTAGTTAACATCATCACTGGAAAGCCAAAATCAATCATTTAGATCCCTAATCGGAAGTATACTCAAGTTGGTAACTTTGTTAGGCCTAATACGGGTTTTCTTTTATTATGCTATTTTTATGCTACAATACTCTTTAGGGGAGGATCGTGGATTTTCCAAAGTGGGGGCCAGGGATGTGTTGTTGAAGTTTAAAACTTAAAAAAGGGGTAGGGGTGAATGAGGAGTTCAACGCGTGAAAAGTGCCTCTATAAGCAGTTAAGCATCAGGTGCGGTTCCTGTTAGATCGACCGTAAAAAAAAAAATGTATTTTTCCACTGTGTAAATAATCAACATTGGTCGGTCAGAGGGAAAGGCAGGCCCGGATCCGGGGGGGGGGGGAGGTGAGTAAAAAAAACCCAGCTCTTCAAAATACACAACCTGTCTACATTTCAAAACAAAATTCTGATGAAACACCCCCCCTCTGCGAAAATTCCTGGATCCGCCCCTGAAAGGGGATGGTCATCCAGCCCAACCATCCCTTCCCTGGACTCACTCAAGACACTTCGGTGTCGTTAAGATCATATTTAACACTTTTACAGAAAATCCTGATAAAGTTAGGATATCCTGCATATGTCCATCATAATTATAGTAGGCCTACATCTTTGTGCATTGGATTTATTCAATAATTCGTTTGGTTTCTATTTTATCAGGTCACTTTTTCGCTTTTTTTACACCCCAACTAACGAAACTACCAACATAATGACATAATCTTGCACTCTTAGTGCTGCACATTGAACTGTAGAAGATTTTTCAAATTTTGCCGGGTTATTTAGCTTTTTTTTTTAATGTGTGGTGGACACAATTCGAAGGCGCTTTCAAGAGTTCGTATTTACCACTCGAAAAAGTGACCTCCAACTGTATCCATAATCTAAAAAAAAAAAAAAATGCTAATGCAGATATTACCTATAAGGTAGCAGACCAGTAAATAAACTTCCATAGACCCCAATGGTAAATGCTCCCACTTCAAAAATTCGGGGAAAATACTCACAACTCTCCAAGGTGTTTGAGACACACATCAAATTAAAGCTTATTTCATCATCTTTCATTTTCTTTTCGATTTTCGGGGGTCAACTGATGACTTTTAGGAGAAATTTCCATCTGAAGATGATCACCCCTGAAAATAGTCCTGAAGCCCATCGCCATTTTGAAAAACGATGCCTACACTCCATTGCAAAGTAGAGCGCTTTTAGGGTCCAAATTACATCGAAATTACACAGAACTACAAGCTCCCAGTCCTGTGCACGGCTTCCACCCATATTTTCTACAAACCCTCAAGTTCATGGCCCACAGCATGCTCAAATACCGAAGATTTTGAGGGCATGCAAATCGTGATTTGGCCGGCGCAGGCAATTTCGGACCGATTTACTGGTCTGCACCCATAAGCGTCAATTCCAGCAGTTTTTTTTGGGCAAAGGGCGGACCCTGTGTTTACCTTTTCGCCCTTGATTCCTGTTGGGCCGGCCGGTCCCGCTGGGCCCTGGGCTCCGTCATGTCCATCCTTACCATCTCTCCCATCACGACCGTCCCGGCAGACAACACCACCTGCGTTTCCTGATCCTGTCGAATAAAGCAATGTACTTGGAGATGAGAGGTTTTAGATTTCGAGCCAGTATCGTGACTCAGTGGTCAATGCATGTGTTCGGATAATGAACGCCGTATAAGTTCAAAACCTAATGGTGTCATGTTCCTTTTCCCTATTAAAAGGGAACTTTTCTGTCTTTAATAATGTGTCTTAGGCCACACAAAAAAAATAAGTCGGTCTCTGGTCAGCGCGCGCGTCGATTTTAATCATGCGCGTCGATCTTTTTTTCCCCAAAATGTTCCGCGGTAGCTCCAACAGCGCCCTCTATTTCCGCACCTCCTAATTTCTTTTTACCAAAGAGCACCAAGGAATGGGAAATTGCACCAAGGCAAATGATCGAAAGCACCAAGGCAAATTATGGAGGACACCAATGTTCATGAGGACACCAAAAAAGCAAAATAGTACCCACCTTGTCTGTACAATCCAAGCTTGAAGAAAAAAAAAAAAAAGCCGCGTGGCCGCGTCAATTCCGGAACTTTGGTCTGACCAGAGACCAAATATTTTTTTTTTGGCCTTATCGAGGCCTACTTTTCAATGAAGTGAAATGCCAATTATTATTTCCGATTTATGGCTCTTGAGGATTTTTGATTAAAAATTAATGGATATTATGATTTGTAGTTTTACCCACCGTAACCCGGAAGGTGCGTTGCATTTTGTTGGCTGCTGCGGCCAGACGACACTTGAGGCTCCTGATCTCGTCTCGTTCGCAACTGGGCATACTTCCAAGTTGGGACACCTTCTTTCCCGGCGTTTTGTTTCGACGAGGCATCTCCCAACCATGCCAAACGCTCTTCGTGAATTTGCATCTGGTCCTGTTAAAAAAACCCAAAAAACACCAGTTTCAGGGGCTTGCCGATTTCGCATGAGGATTGGAATTATTGTTGACACCGGTTAACTCATCCTCATTTGAGTGGTGTATTTTATTACTTTGCCAGGTATTTAATACGAGAAACGAGTATCCACATTACTTGGGACATTTTAATTATTTTCTTGTTTCCACTCGGACAGTAACAAACGTGGAAGAGTGCACGACAGCTTTTTCGTATAGGGATGGATGCTTGGGATAAGCATCCTAAATTCTTTCTTCCCTGCCCATTTATTACCTGGAGGCCTAAACGATAATTCATACATCAAGACTTTCTAAGCCAGATTAAATTGTTTAAGCTTTTCTCGAATTTTACCGAAATCATTTTTGAAAGATCGCCAAGTAAATTCCCGAACCTTTGCCCGCATAAACTGAGCACGTGCATGGCTCCCCATTGTGGTTTCCTCCTGGTATTTCCGTCGGGTGATTTATCATGAGTTCAATTGTCTCGAAGCGTCAGCTGGTCACCAGAAGAAAGTTCAAGCCGGCGAGTAATGAGTATTCCAACTGCTCAAAATAAATATTATGCCCGTCCAGATTTGACGATTTCCTTTCCCGGATGATCACACCACAGCTATAGCTAAATTTACACAACTCATGGAGGCAATGATAATTGAACAGGCCATCTGCAATATTGTTCATTTCATGCAATGAAAGGAGAAAAGATAGTGTAGGCAGAGTGAACTACATTGCAACTCCCCTTTTTTCGGAGATTCAAAGTGAACTCAAAACAAGAAAGATGTTGCAAACATTGCGGACGTGATATGGTTAATCTGGACGTGCGCATGTGGAGTTCGATACCAAACCACTTACAGATTAATCTACCGAGTTGAGAAGGTGTTTTTGGACAATATACAAAACACATTACAAAAAACAACTGTTTAAAAAAAAAAAGATTAAATTAAATTGGTACAAAATCAGATGTTGGTCTTAAATAATGGAATCCAGCGGCAGAAATCGAGGTAGCAAACACCAATCAGCGTATTGGGGACTGCATTATACATGTATACTACAAATTCATAATTGTGATGAACCCTTAACGCAACGGTGCATAAGGCTTGATTTTGATTGTACAATGCTCTGTCCTGCATTCTAGGGCAATTGAAGAAGAATTTAGCAACTTTATAGCATTCCTGTTATTATTTTTGTATCCATTTGACTAGTTTTATAACATTTGTCAGCGGCTGAAGGGAGGGGCGGTGGGGGTGTTGGTTGGGATGCGACATCCACCTCCTCTAGATCCGCTATACTGAGGCTAGATATATCACTTCAACGTTTCTAAAAATATGAAGACACAAGCTCATTTTCAACTCTCTAAATTGTGTTATGAAGCATGAAGGAGTTCACTTGCACTAATTCGGTTTCAAAGGTTGTTTCAATAGACTTTAATAGAGAAGCCGGAATTGATTCCTGCAGCTTCGTCGAGTGTTTCGCTCTATGCGTCTTCTCACCCACATTAGAGATGAAAATGAATATCTCTCCAATTATATCGGAACCAACCCCATTTAGCATCTGGGAATGGCTTATTTAAAGTGGAGGGAGAATGGGAGCACAGCCTCTTACTCTCAAGGCCTGTGCCCCTGCCATGCCCCTCCCTGCCATTATTTTACCTTTTTTATTTTACCACAGTTTTTGAGCGCCCCTCCAGAGAATAAAGATAGTTACTAGTCCCCCCCCCCCCCGCACAATGTTGGATCTCAAGTACTCCAGCATGATCCGCTAATGCCTTTTCTATGCCAGGGTTACCTGACTTTCCCAACTGTTTATCTAAGCGTGCATTTTATCACACGAGATTGTTAAGCATGACCGACAACTCTCACAGGCTTTCATTCGTTTAAGACTGGCGTTCAAGTTTCTTACCGAACCAAAAAAAGTACGATGAGCGACTGAAGTCCCCAATTAGGTTTCAGTTGGGAAATTCCTTAAAATCCAACGTACGTCCGACCACATGATGTACATTTACCAGGTCATTAAGGTGGTGGTACGTTAGGTCTGTAATTGTGTTCTACTAATGGTGTTTCCAACAGCAGCCCATTAAAGTATATGGGATGTACGTCCGAATTTATGGACTTGTCCAACCTCAAAGTTCCCACAGCTTAAAAACTGTATCGATTTCCTGTTGACAAGAAAATAATGGAGTCCTTCCAAACAACTGAAACAGTCGATATTTCGGCGGATTGCGCCTGTTGTCGCCCCAAAATGTTTCGAACGTCCACCTTTTTATATAAATTCAAATCTTACAATTTGTTTCGATGCGACTCTGAAACGCCATCGGAAACATAATACAGGCCTACCTTGAGTGACTTCAGCTCCGTGTGGACGTACATCACGGTCAGGCCGACCGAGGCCGCGATGAGGCACACATTCAGCAGCGTTCCCACCAAAAACCAGAGCCAGAACCTCCCGTTCTTAGCCGGGTAGTTCTTCCCCGTGAGATATTCTCCATCGACAGATACCTCGGAAAGCTTGTGATCGGGAGCCATGTTGTCAAGTAACTGAGAATAAGAATGCTGCACTGCCGCTCGATCCCAGGACTCTGACTGCGAGATACCTAGTGAGTTCGTCAGCCTGGCAAACAGACTTTAGTGTTTTCTAACTTTGGCTCCCTCCCCGGCTTAGGCTCCAGGGCATTTGTGAACACTTCTGACTTTGGATTCCGGCTCAAAATAGGTCCGTGTTCTGCTTCTGGTACATCAAATCTTACATCTGAGTCCACAATTCAAGGAATTTCCTTTTGGTTTGAACATAAAAGGCTGCTTAATTATTAGGAATCTACTGGTAAAGCCGAAGCCAGCAACGAGCCTTGGTTTCGAAAACCCCTCTTTAAGCGGTTAATCATCTGGTGCGTTCCTTTGAAGCTTGAAGAAGATACAAATCAGATTTTGCGGAAGCAAAACAAGGGACGAGAGGATGCAAAAGGTTGAACCACATGACATAAAGCCACGGAGGGAAGTACCATGAAATTGTGTCATAGTTCAACAGGATAAAGACACATTAATGTCAGGAATAAGGAAGTACCGAGAAGGATACAGGGCTCAATTTTACACAAAGGCCTTTAAAATGGTAAAGAGGTGTACCTTGAGCGTTTTGTTGACTAAAGAAACGATTTGGGAAATTTATTTCCAGGTTACTGTTGTATTTGTTGCTGCCGTTGCAGCTATACATGTACATGTACTGGTTTGGTGTTGCCTTCTTGTTATAATGCAGTTGATGTGGCCGCATGAATAGCCTAGGGCTCTGCAGGTACTACCTGCCTCTGTGTATTATGGGCCCAACAGCCAACTGTGGAAAACTGCTTGAAATTTGCTTCTTTTATTGGCAATAAAATATCAAATGTCTAGTAACTTTATTTTTGTTGGGATGCAACTTACCTGGTAACTGCAGGTAATATAGAGTGAAGATCTGAACATTCCTCATTTTCTTGTTTCCATGTAAATTTCAAAGGAAATTTTTGTGAAAAAAATTCCTTGAATTTTCACAAGTGGCCTTATGGCAATCTAGTATCCGAGCCCCAGTTAATGATGATGTGTTCTAGTCACATGTAGTTTGCTGTCGAGACTAATGACATTTCTGATACTGTTTTGATACCGCTTAAAATGTTACTTTCTCTCTTTTAATAGGCCAGGTCTAAAGACCGTTTAAACAGACACGACCTCCTCTTTTGACAAAGACAAAAATAAAACTTGCAACAGTGCACATCCTTTCAATGCTTATGACAAACCTTTATTTCCAATAGCGAATCATTTGTCTGGGTACAATACAGGGCGCTCTTCAATCGAATTTAATATGCTTTTAACCACACTGTATGACAGGGGTGCAAATCACAAATATTTTGAAGAATGAACTTTTAATGCATATTATTTCTCATCAAAATGAGAAAAAAGTATGATTTGGATCGATACTAAATACCACTCATTGAGTATAATAATATCGTTTTGACGTGTTGACGACATATTTGATGCTGCTGAAATCAACAACATGTCAAGTGGCATATTTCTCTTGTAGTGACTGACAAGGCAACACATTTTACGTAATATGCGATGCACTACATTGTATATAAGATGCATTAATATAAATGTGAAGGTCTTCGGAAGACAACAATTTTTAACTAAGGTATGAGTCCATTCATTGCTAAGAATTTGAACGCAAACAGAGAAGTTTAATCATGACGTTTTTCACGCGATGAAAAGATCATCTTTGATTGAACAACTGAGCCTCTGCGTATTATGGACTCCGTGCTTGAACACTAGATGGCGCTTCGTTACCATCGGCAATTGGTTCAGAATCTCTCCCAATAGTTCCCCCAACTTTCTCTTTATTACCGTTGAGGGCGTGCTTATGCGCGGAGTCCATATTCAGACATTGGGAGTTTAATGAGGTTTAACTAACGCGAAATCTGTATAAACAAGTTTAACCAGCCCATGTGCACATCAAAAAAAATGTTCAATAGGCTTTATTCACGAGTCGGCCATATTAAATTGAAAGCGAGGTAAAATCTTAATCTTCATGGCCTATTTAAGATATGGCCGACGCAATAGAGGGCGATATTTGGTTTGGGTAAATACAAAAGACTTTAACCAAATCAAACAGCGCCCTCCTATGGGTGTCTGCCATACCTCAAATAATAATCATTGTGGGTGCTTGTGCACGGAGCCCACACTCAGACTTTCAGAAATTGTTTGCTGGGATCTGAACGAACTCCCAATCTACATCTATATGACAACTATAAGCAAGTGTCAAGCATTACAAGCATGATAACTGCAAGCATTTCAACTGCGCATGTGCACATCAATGCAGTAAGACTTCGGCACTAGAGTGACATGTCAGCCGCCTTAGATGCTGCAGACGGTACAGGTTATTTCACGCCCGTTGACGTACGGGGGGCAATGGAGGGACCCACAGATCCCCTCTATGATGTACAACAGTGCTCCGTTATGGTCAGTGTGACTGCCAGAGACCACCTCCGGGGCTTGGTCCACGCACACGGCTTTGGATCGCTGCTCATGGGTGTGATGTCCAGACATAAAGAAGCCTCTGTACTCCTCCGTCCAGTTCTCAGGACAGCCGAGCTTGGCTGGGAAGAGGTGCTGGGTCCCGCGGTCCGTGAGACGGCACACGGCGCACGGGACGTCATGGTTGTGAAGGACCTCGGCGTTCTCGTGGGAGAAGGGATCGTAGCTGCTTACCTCGTACTCTGTTCCATACAGATACGACTGCGAGTTCCCCCCGTCTTTGTAAGATGCCGCCCAGTCAGGATCAGTGGGGAGGCAGATAAAATCCACGGAGCCGCCTTTGTGGGTGTAATGCGAACCGGTTGCGAAGCCTTCGTTGGGATTTAAAAATCATGTATATATCAACACAAAGGAACAGTTTACGAGATCGGGAACAAGGGAATCTCTAGAGGGAGTCAAGCGTCCGATAGTATTCAAGATTGTCCGCTCTGAACAGCCCCCCAATGTAGAGTGTGTCCATCCCTACCACAAAAAGAATAATTTACCAAACAATTCTCTTTTAAACAGTTCCATAATATCATTGCACGGCCTACCTGCGTACACCAGTTCCGTGCCTGTGTGATTGGGGCAAATAGTGCGCCCCCATCTGATGTAAGTCTCTCCCCCTGACACCCTTATGTTGTCACGGTGGTCGCTTGGCTCTAAAAAAAAAAAAAAAAAAAAAAAAAAGAAGAAGAAGAAGAAGAAAACTTATCATGTATAAAATTATTGTAGAAATAGGTTGAAATGTACCAAAATCAATGATGACCGAAGTCAACAGAATTGTTTACTTTGAATGAATTGCCTTTTCTGAGCGAGCCTGGAATTATAGGTCTACCAAATAACTCACATATTTCTCTGTTTTCTAAATTTAAGCGGCATTGTAACCTGCCGGAAGTCATATATCAGCAGATCCTAGTATGAACCATGAGGCGTCCTTCAGAGTGGGTTTCACTGTCTTGACAGGCCTCCAGGTCCAGACCAGTAAATATATTGCCGTAGACCTCAGTGGAATTATGCGCACTTCCCAAAATAAGTATTAAAAATACTCACAACTCTCCGATGCAAGACACGCATCAAATTATACAGCATATCCATCATCTTTAATTTTCTCTTACTTTTTTTTGGGGGGGGGGGTTGGGGTTGGAATTCAATGACTTTTGGGAATTAACTTTCCATCCAAAGATGATCACCCGTCCTGAAGCCCATCGCCATTTTGAAAATTTCATCCTAATTTCACAGAAATACAAGCTCACAGTCCTGTGTACGGCTGAATTCCACTCTTCTTTTTACAAACCCTCAAATTCATGGCTCACAAAATGTTCTCATACCGAATAATTTAAGGGCATGCAAATCGTGACTTGGCTGGCGTAGGCAATTTTGGACCGATTTACTGGTCTGCACCCGTCAGGGGCTTGCTCAGATTTTGCAGAAAAATTACGATTTACATAGACTCGTATAAACATGTGATCCCTACACCTGGGAGCCAGCCTGAAATCAAGGCTACTCACATTTCTCTGTTTATAATTGTCCCAGCTACAATAGTAAACATGCCAGAGGTCATCTATCAGCATAAACACATTGCTGAAGTAGGAAACAACTCTGATGAGATGTTTGGCTTGTGTTTTGGGGGTCCTTTTCACTTTCAGAATAAACCCACTTAACTACATTACGCGTTTTGAAAATCATCCAGGCAGGAGCAAGTTACAGGTGAGATTTAGATACTGGCTCAGAAAGGGTTGGAAAAATCAACATTTTAACCAAGATGTCAAACCAGGCGATGTACAAAGATGAAGAGTGTACTATGCTCTTTGCATTGCCCATAAAAACAAATAGGCCAAGTGGTAATATTATCCTGATCACTCATTTCGCAAGATCTGGTCACATTTTGATGGGAGGACTTGGAGGGACTTTATCCCAATCAAGCGCCTTTAAAAAGGTTGATCAGCAACCTCAACGCACAGTTTGATAATTAGAGTAGTGCATTCCCCAGTAAAAAAAAAGCAGCCTAATGATTGTATGAAACACCCATTTGAATGAAAAAAAGAAATGTTCGAGCTTTTCTCGCGTTCATCCGCAAAAAGATTTTTGTGTGAAACAAAAAATTGGCCCAGTTTAGGCCAAAGTTATGGAATGATGACTTCACGAAGTTCGAATTAGTTGCCCGCAGTCCAAAAACAATTCAGTTTTTGGAACTGGAAGGGTTCATACCTCTCTTTCACTATCAGGGATCAATTAACGGGACCGGGAACCAGTCTACTTGCATGTCGGCACCGTTCGTGTGCAAAAACAACCCACAAGGCAACTTGTTTTTGGAATGTCGCAGTCGCCTTAAATAGTAAACAAGTGCGAGTGCACGATAAGCTATGGCCGCCTTACAATGCACAAGCCCGAGCCACCGCGACGTCCCACGCGAAAATCACGTCCTGAATATTGACCAAAATAAGCCCTGTAATAAGTTTCCCATAAAAATAGCGCGCTGTATACCACGTGACTATATTAAACATTACTGCGCATTATCTTGCCTCCATTTTCAAAGTTTGCATAAGCAACTTTACGAATTGTTACAAACAATTTTTGTTAAAGGGAATATACATCAT